CCAGCAAAAGTCCCTTGGACACAAGAAAGCTCATGTTGCAATGCTCTCTGCTGGAAGTCACAAAGAACAAGTTCAGGAAGAAATCTCCATACACTCCAGCAAGTCTGTGCTGGGGCACACTCTGTACTGAATAAATCTCTTCTCAGATTTTAGTTGCCAGCTGACTCTGCTAAGGATGTGAAATAGATTTTTTAAAAAATTTTTTCTAACAGCCAAAAACTGGAAAACTTTCACTCAGCTCATATAAAGGGAAACATCAAAGCCAAGAAGGACAACCTGACAAAAATCCTTACAAAGCAAGGAGGTGCTAGGACTTTTCAAGAAAAGGTTTGCTACAAAAGGTTTTTTTAATCTGAGCAAAACATTCTTGTGCTCTCATTTATAGAAGCAATTGGGCTGCTTGAACTGCATTCCTTGTGTTCCCTGCCCCTTCTCTCCCTAGCAGAACAACTCTATCCAAGGCTGATATTCAGTATGGCTATTTTCTGTTCAGACAATTCAGGATTTTATGATGGAATCACCAGCACAGTAGTACTTGTAGTGTAGAAGCAGCTTTGTGTACACAATGCACATACAGTGGCAGAGGGATGTGTTATCACCCCAGGGATTTGATGGATAACAAAGCTGCTGTAACAATGTAAATTATTTTTGATTTTAAGTACTGGACTCCTTTGGTTTCCTAGTCTTTGGGCTGCATTTGTTATGTGCACCAGCTGTTTGTTACATTCTTGATGGTTAGGCCTTGGCATGATTTAAATGGCAGCTGAGATTATCTCATGGTCTCCTGACTTCAAGATTTTAATAAAAACAGCAAACACATAAAACCTGAGAGTCAGCCATGGGAAACAGCAAAACAGCTCTTATCACTGTAGCATGCCAGTCCCTTGGGAATGCATAGCAGAGTGCAGACTGTCAGGAACTAATTAGCCACAGCATGGAGCTCCTCAGATCAGACCATTCTGTGTCACTGACATCATTACTTGCAAATACTTGGAAATCCATACTGATGCTGAAGGCATCTTCAGTGATCCCGCAAGTTCCAAGGGATGTGCTTTATGGTGTCAGTTCTGCTGCATTCCTGACCTTTGTTCCCCTCATGGAGGGGTTGGATTGGATACTAAATATATCAAATTGTCCAAAACTTTAAGGCTACCATGAGAGCAGGCAAAACTGCTTCAAACAGAAGCTTTCCTAAAGTGAAGCTTAAAGTGGGAAATACATGCTGATAACTCAGGACGGATTAGACCAGCAGACTCATATAAATACTCTTAAATCAAGTGTTTCAGGCTTTGCAATATACATGCATTATTCACAATAGAAATTTCAGCTAAAACACCATTCCAGAATGCAAAATAGCTTTGTGCATAGACAAACATGCAATCTCAGAATTCAAAATAAAAAACCCTAAAACATGTAAGTAATCTAAACATATTGCTTCATGAGAAAGTATAAAGTTGAGATGGAATGGTCTAGCCTGTTGCATAATGATAGTATCCAAAACTTTGTCTTTATTAAAATTTACAGAAAAATACATCAAATGTGAAAGAATACAATGCACCAAGAAAAGATACCATACGGGTAGTGAAAAACAGTGTTCTATAGAAAATATCAACAATATTAAGAGATTCTTCCCAAATCCAGTGAAGATGAATTTTTTTGTCCTGTTGGAAAATTTTCCATCCATTAAACAGTCAGGGTTCTAATGAGCCAGTCTCCTGTTTGTAACCACAGATGAGTGCAGAAAACCTACCTTCTACAAATTACACAGCTAAATAAACAGAGGCCCTGTTGGCAGCAACCTCCTTTGTGTGCATGAGAAGGTAACAGAGACCACGAGCAGACACTGGAGCATAAATTTGTGTCTGACTGTATCTCAATAATAATTTGTGCTGGCTGTTTTCCTTGATTTTATTAAATAACATCATTAGATGTTTCTGGTTTTAAATTTGGTGCATTAAAAAAAAAAAAAAAGCAGATGTGGAGGATAAATAATTCTGATTATATATTTGTATGCAAACAGTTCATCAGTGTGCTCTATATAATGACTTCCCACAGATTTTGAGATGTGGAAGAGAATCTGCTTTGCATAATCTTTTGCCTATAAACTGTAACTGGGTATTTATTATACTTATTTTTCCAAGAAATGTTGCAACTGAAACACAAGGACAAATGTGTCATTTGACCTGCATCAGCAGCTCAGATTCATGGTCTTACTAAAAAAGAAATTTTCACCTTTATTAAGAGCTAAACTGCCTTCTGGGAGAAATGAAGGCCTGGCAACCTCATAAAAAGATTTCTGCAATGTAAAACAGGGTCTCTTCCATATGGGGAAGTGATCAAGTTTTTCTGCTACCAGCCAAGTTGGAAAAGTAAAAGGGTGGCAATTGTCCTTGCTTACCTCATCTCAGGGGGCATCCAGTCCTTTTCAGCTGACAAAACAGTGGGAGGAACCCCACTCAACCAATGAAAGGGAATTACCTTCTCCTTTGTGTCTGTCACACTCCAGGTATGGAGCAGAGTTGTCAGAGGAGCAGGGCATCCACAGTACTTGCTGGCTCCCTGTAGATTTGCCTGTCCCAGATCCCTTAAATTTTTTATCTTAAATTAATGTTTGCTTTGACAGGCTGGAAGGTGTTAATGAGCTTTGTCTATTATCAGAATGCAAGGACAATCCTGGGATGCTCCTACACGTTACTCAGAGAAGTCCTGGGAGTGCTGTGCAAAGGGTGTGAAGAGCTGTGCCTTCCTGCTCTTGGGCTGAGGAGAAGACATGAAGTATGGCCCTGCTCTTACTGCAGGAGGGTGGACAGAGGCATCCACTGTCTGACAAGATCACACCTCTACACTATAGCCCTAATTCTGAACCTGCAGAGGGACAGGTGATAACTGCCTTTCCTTAAGGAAAGCATCCAGGCAGAATATCAGGCAAACATAAATGGAGAGAAATAGTCATATTTTGTGAATAAGTCCTCACCAACTGGTGCTTTGAACTACTTTGGCCAAAACACTGGAACATCTCTTCTGGCAAGAGGTAGAATTGCTTATTGTAATTTTTTCTGCTGTTCCCTCCACCTTTTTTGATATAATTGCCCTTGAGCAGTGCTCTCACTGGAATATGTAACAAGAAGGGAAACGAAACTTTGGCACTACTATGTTCAAAATAAATGTGAGGTGGCCATCAAAACGCCTCAGCTGACAGGGACAGCAGGGGAGCACCTCCCTGGAATTGACACCAAAGACAATTTCAGTATTTGCTGGAGACATGATCTTAGCTGGCTCTCAGGTGTCAGTTATGTGCAAACATCCTCTCAGGAACAAGAAGTGAGATGAAAGGGAGAGATGATGCCTTGAAAGAGCCCAGCAGTGTTAACAGCTGTGTAAGATGCACTAGTAGAAAGTGTGCAAAACCAGGCCTCTTCTGCAGCTGTGTAACCCCAGAAAAACTGAAACAATAACCATTGAACCAAAGTTTGGAAACATTTTATGACGGCAAATAACCTCTAACAAGTACACAGAAGCACTGCAGTTCTGAAAACCACACACGTCTAAAACTGGTTTTATGTTTATAGGAGAAGGTAGAAATAGTTTCAGGCAATATTTGTTTTGCATTTAGGAGATACAGAAATTCGTCTGCTGGTGGTGTTGATGTTTGTATGCTTCTGACTCAGTCAGAAATCCTGACTCAGGATTTACCCATAAGCAGCAGGAAAAAGTGTGTTTTATGAAGCAGTGGGTTAGCTAAATCTAATATGGTTTGGCCAACAAGGCCTGAAAATGTCCTAATGGTCACTCACTCAGTGATCACAAAGCACACAGACATGAGAAAAGAAGGGGTTGCTCGTGCTATGGGCCAATCCCAGCAGGCTGCTAGGGGTGGTACAGATAACACTCAGCTGTGTTCCCACAGAAGCTTTATTGAGTATTTGGATACAGGAGTCACCACTTGTCTGCAAGCAGAAGGATCAGGTCTTTGCCATGGCAATTTCTTCCATGACTTAAGTTCTAGAGAACTAGGAGGAGGTTTTTCTATTGCACCAAGCGATACATACCTTGTGTTTGCAGAAGTCAATTTTCAGTGGAAATATCAGCATTCCCTTTATATTTAAAGGGAATATAATATATTTTATATTCCCTTTTACATTTTGAACTGCTGACTGTAATGAGGGCAGCTTTAACCATTCAACAGAGGTCCATCTTACTGCAAGTGTCTCTACCTTGTCCCCTAGGTACATAATAGAACTCTGGAATCAGAAGAGCTATATGGCTTAATCCAAGCTCTTCTCCATTCCAGCCTGGGAAAAGGAAGCCAAACCAAGATTTTATGCTGCAATCCAGATAACCTGTTTCAGTTTGATTTGGATCACATATAAACAATTTTTCAGATCTTTGTCCCAGCAACCTTTAGAACAACCTCTACCAATGTGTTTTTGAAGTAAAAAAAATAAAATTGGGCTTTCAGCTAGGGTAGAAGAATACAAGAGATGTGAACATATGGACAACATACTCTAGGTCAAACCCTTACCAGGCCAAATATTCCCATAACCCTACAATAATAAAATTATTATTATAATTAAGGGCTAATTTAAGGAATGTACAGTATTTACAGTCATTAAAAGTAGACAGAAGATACTAAGTAATAGGGGATACAAAGTAAAGGGATATTAGGATAGAGCTAGGAGGAGATTCCCGGGCTCTTTCCTATTGTACTATTGTTTCCTCTGATAACTTGAATAGCAAATGCCATTCAGGGCCTACCTAGATGTTCTCATGAGAAGAATCCCTCGAGAGAGGCTATCTCTAGCACAAGGCTAGAGAAATTCTATCATCTTGTTCCACTCAAAGTCTACAGCATCTTAAAAGGAAGCCCATAGCAGCTGATGGGGCTGTCTCCCAGCTTAGCAGGAGTCAATAATGCTCTCTGCTCCCATGGTTGTGGGAACTAGTCAAAAGCAGTTGTCTTAGATTACATGAATGAATCTCAGAAGAGTGGAGTTCTTTCTGTAATATCAGAAAGAGTCAAATTCATTCCTCAGGCCAGTTCACTTCAGTTCAGGTATGAGCTGAGACCAACTAATGTCTGTTCCTAAATTTTCATCCTCAAGACCAGGAAAGCTGATATCTAGAAGGATTTTACTGAGACTGTCATTCATGGTGTCCAGGATAAGGCCCTCCATGAGTGACCGGTTTTCAGTAAAGCCAGAAACGGTCAGTTCAACAGAGGATTGCTTGGAAGTGTCACGAATAAACGCTGGAGAGCTTGTGAGTGGCACAAGGACCATATCACTGGATTCTGTATTGAGCAGTTCTCGAGGAGAATCAAAGAGAGGATTTTTAAGAGGTGTGCTGTTAAAACCCAGCAAGTCCTGGTTGTCCTGAAGGGGTGTGAATGGCAACTGAAGGGTTTTCACTGGACTGAAGTCCAGCTCATGACTTCCTTTGGTTAAGGAAGCAGATTTCCAGGGGTCAAGGACCTCTAGTGAAGGGGTAGTAGTGGCTGAAACTTTGCTGGGAGTGGAAGAAACGGGCAATTTGCTGAAGATGTCTTTGACTGGTGTTTTAAAGGTCCCCTCTTCTCCCTGCGAGCAGCTGAGCTGTGATATGTTCTCAAGGGGCTGGTTTTCCTGGGGGAAGGGACGGTCTGCCCCTAACCGGAAAGGGTCAAAGCTGCTGCTTTCTGGCAGAACAAGGACGGGCTCTTCTGAACAAGGCAGTGCCAGGCGTTGTTTCCTTCTGGATCTACCCACTTCCCGCCTTTCCCTCCTCTTTATAACTAAAGAGTCAGAAACTGCCTTAGATGGGGACTTCAGTGTGGTGAACTCTTTCCTCTCCTTTGTGGATGAGTCTGGGAGGAACAAGCTTGGCTCTTCCTTGACCGTTACTGTTGAGGCAAATGGCGACAGCCAGGGATCCAGCTGAGAGCCTTCTTCCTCCTTTACACAGGCACCCTCCGGGAAAGAAGACAATTCCTCACCAGGCTGGGAGCTGCTCTGTATGGAATGGGTTGGGGAAAATAGACCTGCATCACATTGACCCTCCTCCTTGACAGCAGCTGTGGGTAAAGAGGGCGACTCTTCTGCAGACGGTGACATCTACAGTGAAACACAGGTGACATGCAGTCAGTAAGCAAGGATCTAAGCTACCCAAAAATCCAAATAACAGTGGAAAGAAAAGAAAGGCATTTAAGGTCAGCAGAGAGGGTAAGAGGAAGATATTCAGGAAGCAGTAATTATAACAGACTGAGATTGATCGCTGTGAAGCTGATAGAAAGAAACCTAAGGATCACATGGCAAGGATTCTAGATAAGTGACAAAGTCATACCCCTTCAGAGCACTCCGGCTCTGAAGAACTTCTGAGAGTACAGGCAGAAGGAGAGCTGAATATTTCTGGAAAAAATATAACCCCTTTGATTTTTTTCTTACATTATCTAAATGGGAATAACAAAGTGAATGAGGACAGCTTTCCCAGAAACCAAGGAAAAGGGAGAGAAAAAAAAATGAGGTTATCAAAAGAAAAATAGCACAGGAGAAAGATAAATCATAGCTGGAGAGAACATAAAGCAGCAGCAGGCATACAAAGGAAAATAGGATTATGGTTAGACAGGATGGAAGAAGCTGAAGCTTTACAATGTCTAAGCATACAAGAGCAGTCAGTGAGATGCCAAGAAAAAGAGCTATTTAATAGCTGTTTTTCTTGAGCCCAGAATAACTGAACTTCACAGAATTAGCAAACAGCAGATACGGAAATCCTCTGGGAAGAGAATACATGAGATAAATTCCCTTTCAGAAGTTCCTTATTGTTACTTGTCTAAAGAGCTATCAAAAATAAGAATAAAGCCATTCCTCCCATTCTTCTTTCTTCATATCCCAGCAGTAAAGAAAAATTTTCATGACCAAGCCATAGAGCCCCTTCCTCTAGTGAATTATAGAAACATCCTTAGAGCAAATAAACTAGCAGGTAGTAGTCAGCCTAGAGACAGTAAAGGATGGCAAGGATTATCACTAGCTAGTTCCTTGATAGGAGCTTGGAGTTTTAGAGCACCTAAGTAAAGATGTGCAAAGGAGCCATATGAAGAGAAGGTTCATTGAAGGCAAGAGATAGAAAAAAAAGTAAACAATACATCCAAACAAACACACCACTCCTTAAAAAAAAAAATCCCCATACCCTTCTCAGAGCCCTCCTCGCCCCCCTTATAAAAAAAAAGAAAAAAAAATAGGGAAAAAAAACAGGAAAAAACCCCCACACTAACCCCCCTGAAAACTCCTTGGAAAACAAGAAACCAACCTTTGGAGCAATGCACACGCGCTTATTGCTCTGCAAAGTCTCTGAGCTGTTAAGGGATACTCCCTGTGCCATGGACAGAGGAACCTTCACAGAAGGCTGCAAGACAAGAGGCTGACTCAAAGGAAACTGGATTGGAACCAGGTAGGAGTTGACACGAGGAAGCAAAGGCTTCATCTTTCGGCCTGGAAGGGAAAAGAAGGGACTCACTTTTGCCTGTTCTCCACTGTTACCTCTTGAAACCCAGGCACCTTACAGAAAGTCCTTCTAGATATCCCAAAAGAAACATTTGATCAGGTCACTTGCCTTCTCTGCTAATTTTAAGGATACAAATACCAAGCCAGAAGCCTCATGAACAAGAAAATAACCTTTCATGCAGATCCTACTCCTCAAGTTTGGGCTCTCACCCCATTTGAGTGCCCAATGCCCACCATCTCACCAGCACGTCCCCTGAGACACAACAATACTGCTTTCCATTTCAAACCTGACAGTAAGGAGCATAAAAGCTGGCAAACTGGGATAACACACTGCACTTGTATTCCTGAAGAAATCTGGGAGAATGCCCCAGGCTTATTGGATTGATTCTTTTTGGCCTAGACTGCTGGGGACACTTACGTGAATTCTGGGGTTCAGTTTTGCTTCCCATGTTCTTCAGAGGATCTGGGAGACGATTCTTTTGTTGCTGCAGTCATTGTGAGATAAGTAAGAGGAGAAGGAGAAAAGAGAGAGATTAAAAGAAAAGAATCCACATTTCTTCTGCTGCCTCACTGAGAATTGTGAAACCAGAGGTCTGTGCTGGACTAATGCAAAGAGAGCAGCTGTTAGCACCCAGCACTCAGGCTGGCTCTAGGTCTGTGCCACTTGCTGGTTTGCAGCCATGCCACCCCAAAGCCAGCTGCCCACCAAAAGCTGCATAGGAAAAGAGACAACATGACAGAGCTGCTCCAACTGCAGACTCTACTGCAGAAATGAGCTGGTTTTGGCACCCTCAGTGCCCGAGGAATAAGATGGCTTTACTGAATAAGATGGCTTTACTGTATATTGGATGTCTATACAAACCATGGACCAGATAGGTGTTCAAATGGAACACCAGAGGCAATGGGATCAGAATTCTGAGCAGATGGAAAGAAGGCCAAGGTTGTAGCTGTGACAGAAAAGTGTTTGACTGGATGTTTACAAATTCTTCACTGCTAAAACAGCTGAATGCAAGAGCAACAGCAAACAGGTTCATCTTTCCAAGAGTCACTCACAATGCAGTGGGTTCCAAAATGAAAAAGAAGCACAGAGAGATCCTATTGTCTCTGCACTGAGCCCCAGAACATATTGGAACTGTTGCCATGGAGATGATTTTACCAGAAATCTGTTTGGGCTTGTTCTCTGAAGCCTATTGGTGTCCACTGCAGCCTACTTCAGCAGTAGACTTCCAAGTTGCTCAAAGCTGTCCAGCTTTACCAGCTCAAGAGACTGTACCATCAGAAGGCAGTCAAACATTGGCTACACCCCTCTCCCTGCAAAGGGTAAGCATGGAGCTGTATGAATAGATGCAGCAGTGACCCAGTCCCCCTCCCCAAGCCTGTTGTCCTTTCCTTCAGTGACTGGCAAGAAGAGAATGGAAGATCAAGCCCCGAGCCAGATGGTAATTCTTACTGATTCAGAATACTCAGGCGATGTTGGTGACCCCAAGTCCAGCGGCTGATGGCAGAAGGCATTGAGCAGAAAAAAAATTCAAGATGAAGTTATCAACCAAAGAGGGAGACAAATGGGACATTTTAAACTTGTACAATCTGAGCAAGCAAAAGTTAATTCTACCCACCCACTGCAGAAAACACAAGAGTCTAAACACACCTATACCAGACTCCCAAGCTCTATTTCCCTAACAAAATCTTCCAAAAATACCTATTTGGGCTAGGACAATTCTATCCTATCAAACAGCATAGGAACACCTGGTTGGCCTCAGCAGAAATCTTCTCATTAGGAATTTAAATCAGGCCCATGGAAAGAAGTTGAAAGAAGTTGAACAACTTGACTATTATATTTGGCACAACATGTGAAGAATAAACACATCTCACAGAAGCTCCAGATCAAAAGCAGAGCCACAGCACCTTTTCTTTCAAATGCAGAGCTTGTCTATTTGTCAAGTGAAGTGACTGAATCCAGCTTCCACAAAGAGGCTGATGTCAAAGCAGCTTAACCTTACAGTTAAAATAAGGTGCATCAGGCTAGTGTGGCATTTAGAAACTGGATAGCCTGTCCTATTTCCTTTGCATGAGACAACTCACCTTAAATACCTGGTCCAATGTTAGGCAACGATTTGCATCAGGGTGAATAGTCCAGAAGGAGATTTTACCATTGGCAGATGTCTCACGGACAAACATATCATGAAGGGACAGGTTGTGCCGGATGGAGTTCTGAGGAGAAAGAAGTGAGGGGGAGGTTGAAAACAGTAGTTTTGTTATCAGCACAGCAAGGCCTACCTCAAACATAGCTGCCCTAGCAGAGGGATTACATTCCAAAATGCAGACAACATCAAACTTTCATGTTCACAGTGTACCCAGCCAACCCTGTCATCAGCCTCTTATTCTATGTACTCTTAAGATCCCTATTCTCACTCCAGTGATCAAACATCCCATCATCTTGTTTAAGAAGGATAAGACAAGAGATAAAAGAAGTGGTACAGTGAACATCTGGAGTGAGAGTGTATTGAGGGTAGAATGTTTAAATGAGTTTCCATCTTGCTTTGCAGGCTGGGGAATAACTTTTCATTTTGATCCAGAAGGAATGTAGCATCACCCACAGCAACTTGAGGGCCTGCTTGTTACCTTCCAACCTGGCTTAGCTACATGTTTAAAATAAGGGAAATGATCCTCAATCCAGGTATAGATGTCCTTCAGCGTCATGCGCTTCTTCTCTGTGCTGTTGATGGCAAACTGGATCATGGCCATGTAGGAGTAAGGAGGTCGTTCTGACACCGAATCCTGCCATGAGGAGGACTCAGCAGCAGTAGGAATAGCAGCAGCAGCAGCTTCCTCTTCAGTCTGAAAGACAGAAGGGGTGATACATGACACAGAACATCCCTGGGTCCTCTGGCTTCTGCTGTTGCTATCAATAAAGGTCAAACTTGGGTTACTTAGAGATAGCGATGCCTAATTCTTCCAAGTATTCTGATCCACGTAAATTACTTATCAAAAATTTTAGCACATACTCTTGTATTCTCCTACTCACCTTGACTCTTTCCTGCAGAGGCATCTGATTCTCTTTCTCTGTGTCTTCCTTCACAGAAGAGGGATTCAGCCCATCAGATCTCATCTTCCCCAGCCACTGGATGTTGGTGAGGCTGTTGTCCAACACAGAGCTCATTGTCTCGCCACTGCCTGTCGGGATAACAGGCCCATGTAATAATCACAGAATAATTTAGGTTAAAAGACTCCTCCAAGACCATTTGAGTCCAGCCTGTGACCAAACACCACCTTATGAACAAGACCACTGACTGCAGCATCCAGTTGTTTCTTGACCACCTCTAGGGATAGTGACTCCAAACCTCCCTGGATAGTCTGCTCCAATGCTTGACAACCCTTTAGGGAAGAAATTCTTCACGATGTCCAATCCGAACTTTCCTTGGCACAGCTTGCGGCTATGCCTTTTGTCCTGTCTAGGAGAAGGCATCCCCCACTGCTCTACAGCCTCCTTTCAGGCAGTTGTGGAGAGTGATAAGGTCCCCCTGAGCCTCCTTTTCTCCAGGCTGAACACCCCCAGCTCCCTTAGCTTTTCCTCATCAGACTTGTGCTCCAGACTCTTCACCAGCTCTGTTGTCCTTCTCCGGACAGGCTCCAGCACCTCAATATCTTTCCTGTCATGAGTGGCCCAAAACTGAAAACAGTTTTGAACTCAGAACTCAAGGTGTGACCTCACCAGTGCCGAGTACAGGTGGACAATCTCTGCCCTGGTCCTGCTGGACACATTATTGCTGGTACAGGCCAGGGTGCCACTGGCCTTCCTGGCCACCTGGGCACACACTGGCTTATGTTCAGCTGCTGTTGACCAGTACCCCAGGTCTTTTCCTGCTGGGCAGTTTTCCAGACACTCTTCCCCCAGCTTGTAGCACTGCCTGGGGTTGTTGCAATGCAACTGCAGGACCTGGTACCTGGCCTCATTGAGCTTCACAATTGGCCTCGACCCATGGATCCAGCCAGTCCAGATCCCTCTGCAGAGCCCTCCTGCCGATCCACACTCCCACCCAACTTGGTGTCATCAGTGAATTTACTGAGGATGCCTTTAATTCCCTGATCCAGACATTGATATACAGAGTAAACAGGACTGGCCCCAGCCCTGAGGAGCCCCACCAGTGACTGGTCACCAGCCGGGTGCAGCACCGTTCAGCATCACTCTCTGGGCTCAGCCAGTTTTAACCCAGTGAAGAGTGAACCTGACCAAGCCAGGGGCTGCCAGCTTTTCCAGAATAATGCTGTGGGCAGCAGTGTCAAAGGCTTTACTGAAGCCCAGCTAGGATACAGGCACAGCCTTCCCCTTGTCATAACCTTGCTTTCACACAAGTAACCCTGCTACCCCTCCACCTCAGCTGCCAAAAGGAAGGCACCAGTCACACTTCTAAAAGATGGTATTGTAACACTAATATTGTGGAAGGAATTCACCTTGAATTCCTGATTTCATGTGTAGTTGCCCAATTTCTGAAAAGAGCTGCAGTCTTAAAAACAAACACTCAAACCAGACTATTGTCAACCAAAACAGGACAATGTTCATCTAGTACTTCAAGAAAGAGAAAGACAGCACAAAACTTAAGTCAGAAGCTCAGATTTTTTTCTATTAAAAAAAATATGTCCACTATAATCCTTTCGATTTCACTACATATGCAAGGCTATGTAGATTATTAGAATCCAATCAATAGGTATTTTGTAATTAACAAAATATTAATAATTACCAGCCAGCAAGCCGGAGGGGAGATAGAATATAGAAATACCAATGCTGATTCTTACAGCTGATTGCTCTAAGCAGCAGATTACATAACCTACATGAAAAGGGAATTTACAGATGGTTTAAGATCTGAGAAGCAGAGATTAGCCTGAACACTACAAAGGCACACAATAAATGTGTAAGATGCACACAATAAATGCAGCAGAAGTAAGGTGTTTTAAGCCAGACACCAAGGAAATGTGCTTCTAATTCCTTTCGTAGATTTGTTAAGAACCACATAAATTCGTCATTGGGCAGCATACAATTTAGATGTAAAACTTTTGGACAACAGGTGGTTTAGACTATAAAGTTGGAAGCAGAGGAAATAAAATTCAGAGATACTGCTTCCAGGGTAAGATGCTGTAAGAATACTGCTAATAATGCCATCAGGAATTCAGTGGACCCTCTGCCTTTCTGCAAGCTATACCAGAACAATATACAAATCGTACTTATTGTTTATCATTAGAGATGGCAAGCAGAATAGAAACAAATAACAAAAAAAAAAGGAGGCCTTTTACATTGGTGGATTTGACGGGGTCAGCAAGAAAACGAGTAAATTCTCAGTAAGAATCCCCTGATAGACTGATAGAAAGCAGAGTGAGCAGATAGCAAGCCGAGCTGATGCCCCATGTACAGGGAGCACACAGGCCAGCGATCACTCCACGCGGGTTCTGGCAGCCGGCACAAGCATGGCCCTTTGCATCCGCTCCACCCCCTTAAGGAGACGCAGCGCCAAAGGAAGAACCGGAGCCAGCCTCCCACAGGCTGCATTCCTCTGAGCAGGAACAGGAGCGCGTCACTTCCCAGGGAGGCCCCGATCTGCTACCCCCGTACAGGCCCGGGGGCACCGCCGTGTACGCGCGGCCCCGAGGGGGCAGGGAGGGCAGCGCCGAAGCGCTCCCAGCTCCTTCTTCACCCGCCCCAGCCCCAGCCCCAGCGCTGCCGCCCTGGCCAGCAAGCTCACCTGCTCCCGCGGGGCCTTCCGCCCCGCCCGGGCCTAGGCGCTGCCCTCTCCCGCCCGCGCGGTGGCCTTAGTGCGGCCCTCCGAGGGGTGCCGACCCCTGCCAGGGGCCCCGGAGGATGGTGGCGGGCACCGGTCGCGACTCACCAGCTGCGGGCCGGGGCAGGGCCGATGCAGGGCGGCAGCCCCGGCGCTCCCGCAGCGGCCCCGGTTTGAATTTGGCGCCCGGCGCAGCGCTGGCCCGATCACGTGCCGGCCTGCGCCAGTGAGCGGCGGCGGGGGCGGGGCCAGCCGGGCCGGACCAATCGGCGCACAGGGCCAATCGGCGGCGGGGGATACGTATGTGCGGGCGGGACGGAGCCCGGGCCGCTGCCGGGATCGCATTGTCCCGCCCGCCCTCGTACCGGGACGGCCGCTCCCGCCCCGCTGGGGCAGTGCCGGCAGCTTCCTTCAACCGTGCTGCCCGCGGCTGGGAGCCCTGCCGAGCGCCGGGGCCGCCGGCTGTGCGCTGAGTCCTGGTGAAGAGCTACGGGGTTTTACCGTTTAACGTGTGTGTCGCGGCTGCAGCGGGCTAGCGGGGCCCGCAGGGCGCCCTGAGCACGCTGCCACTTAGGTAAGCAGTCAGGCTGTTGCAGTCTCATGCCCTTCTCATGAAATGTTACCAAATTTCCTTGTGTGTGCCGATCTATGGTAAGTCAGGTTGGGTGAACACGAGCCATCAGTGCTCCCAGGTGGCCGGGAAGGCCAATGGCACCTGGCCCGTGTCAGCAGTAGCGGGGGCAGCAGGACCGGGGCAGGGATCGTTCCCCTCTACTCGGCACTGCTGGGGCACTCAGAGTGCCGTGTCCAGCTCCGGGCCCCTCGCCTCAGGAAGGACACTGAGTGCTGGAGTGGGTCCTGAGAAGGACAGCAGAGCTGGTCTGGAGCACCAGTCCATGAGGAGTGGCTGAGGGAGCAGGGAGTGCTCAGCGTGGAGAAAAGGAGGCTCAGGGGGACCTTATTGCTCCCTACAACTGCCTGGAAGGAGGGTGCGGCCAGGTGGGGATTGGCCTTTCCTGCCAGGCACACAGTAATGGAACAAGGGGATATCATCCTAAGCTCCCCCAGGGGAGGCTTAAGTTGGGTATTAGGAAGAAGTTCTTCACAGGAAGGATGATTAGACATTGGAATGGGCTACTGAGGGAGGTGGAGTCACTGTCCCTGAAGGTGTAGCACTTAGTGCCACGGTCTAGTTGCCATGGTGGTGTGTGGCTGTGGGTTGATGTGATGATCTCAGAGGTCTTCCAACCTAATTGGTTCTGTGATGTGTTTTCCAACAGAATATTAAATACAATGTTACTTCAGTTCAAACTTATTCATTAGGCAAAACAAACAAACAAATCATGTAAGATCTGTAGAATATAGAAGGGAGATGTCAACTGTGTTTTGTGAAAAAAATATACAAAAAAACAAACAACAAACTTAAAGTCTCTTGAAATTAAAATGTACAGGTAGTTAGCAACCAGAAAGGGAAAGAGTTCTGATTATCTGAGCCTTATAATATCTTCTTGGCATTACAAACAAGACTGAAATAAAAAAAAAAAAGAAAATCAGTTTTTAATTTTTTTTTTCTTTTCATAGCTGACTTGACATAACTGGATCAGTAGGTCATCTGCTCCCATTCCTGCAGTGCATTTCTAAATCTACCTGAAAATTGACAAAAGGTTCAAGAACTACTGTTGGGAAAAAGTCTGCCTTGAGATGTGTGCGCTGTGCTGTTGCATAAATGTTTTGCTTTTGTTAAAAACTGCATCTGAGGTTTCCAAACAAGTCTGTCTTCAAATCCATTTATTTGCCTTCTAGAGATTCAAGAGCGTTTTAGCATCTCCTCGGGGTGCTTCCTTCTTTCTTCAATTGGCTCCAACAAGCATCATGAGGTTTCTAAGTGGTTTCACCACACCTTTTGATGCCTCCGAAGAAGAAGTGTACCCACAAGGCCAGGAAGGCAGAGCTGATTTTCCTTGAGAAGCCACGGGCAGGACCCATCCATTGTTATGAAGCTCCACTGCATTTGGCTGAGAATCCCAGACGTGTGCCTACAAAACCTGTGGAGCTGAACACCTCTGCTGCCTGGGTTGGTACAAATTATCTTCCCTCCTGCATCCCACAGCAACAGTTTTCAAGTTTCTCTTGCATGTCTTAACAGAAAGTTTATCTCTTCTGAATATGGAAAATTATTCCCCCAGACCTGAATTCCCTCTATCAGTCTAAAGCATAAATAAGTGCTTGAGTTGCTTTGCATTCTAAGAATAAGCACTAAGGTCTTGGCTACTTGAAGACATAAACTGTGTGCAGTGTTTACTGATTAATGAATATTTGTCTTCTAGAAAAATTATTCCCATCAGGAAAACACTGTTTTCCTTGGCAACCAAAAACCCTGCATGAAATAAACCTTAGGGGAGATTTTTCTTATTGACTTGCTGTTTGAAATAACTGCTGAACTCTCAATGTTACATGTTGAAGTACTGGGTGTATTGTTTAAATCTGACACTGCTAAATTTAGAGAACACAGGTTTCCACTTCAGAATGATTTGTTCTAACTTGCCCTCTTTTCCATTTCTGTTTTGAGTAGTTTATCTCCATACCAATTTTCTGATGGGTTCCTTTTCTTGGGACTGTTTGCCATGTCCTAAAATACTGCTTAGATTGTATAATGTAAAGATTTATTTTTTTTTTTAAGCAAGCAGCTGCAGCAAAGACAGACTGTTCCTGTGCAACAGTTGTCATCACCTAGGGGAGCTCTGTTTAAACATTATTGCTGCTTGGCTCTGCTCTTCACAAAGCAAGCTCAGGAAGTGTGGTTTCAGACCTGCATGAAACATTCCTTTGTTCCTGTTGACCTGCAGGTATTTTTGTGATGCCTTAACCTTGAAGTAGAACATCTTCAGTTATTTCCTCTTTCATTTTTTTTTGTATCTGCTTGAGGCAGTTAGCTCTACGGTTTGTGAATCACTAAGTAAAATAACTGCTGTGAATAAGCATTCATTTTGTTTGGAAGAGGTGGAAACATCCACTCTGGTAGCTCTTTGATTCCTAAAATACAAGTATTCTAAAATTTGTTTGAAGCTATCAGTACTGAAACTGTTAAATATTTCTCAGTTTGGAAACTGTGGTAGGTTTGTAACTTCTGGAGGCATCCTCTGCAGAGTGTCTGTTAACTTGTTTAAGTGGAAACTGGTTTTCTGCTCCTCTCTCTCCTCTTTGGCATTATCTGAGTTTTTCATACCTTTTCCACTGCTAGGTTCCTGCATAGGTAAAACCTACCCTACATGTTCTCTGAAGCGAGGAAGACACATCCTTAAAATCAGGGACTATGTCAAGTATGTGCTGGTATACAATTATTACAGAATCGTTTCTCTTTTCCTGCACAATGGCTTTGGATTCAAACAGTTCAGCTGTACATCAGACAATCACCATCCTTAGTTAAATTGCACTCAGTGTTTTGAGGAACTGTGTAGGAACTTAGGAATGCTGAAAGAGATCTGTCGTTACCGTAGCAAGAACTCAGTTTGGTGTGCTCTTGGGAAAAGCAAACTGGAATCTGAAACAGAGTCAGACTCTTTTGTTGACAACCAGGAAGACAAAGAACACAGTAATAAAAGGATTTCCAGGGTCTGAGTCCAGAATAATTCAAAGAAATACAGATTGTTGAGCTTGGACCATCTTTTCTACAGGAGGTTGATTGTAGAAGTGGATTTTGGGTGATCTGTTACTCCACAATACAGAAATTAACTCTTTTGAAACAAAGATGTTTAATGGAAGATTTTGAACACCATATTAGTATATCTAAGGGGATTGAGCTAAGTGGGCATTCTTCAATCATTTTGTATTGCTGTCCCAGGTCAGCCTCTCCTTCTCTGGGGAGGCTGAGGATTTAGTTCTTTGGATCTGTTTGAGTTATGCTAAGATACAGAAAGAAAAATGATCCATTCTGAACTTTCTTAAATCTGCAGGGGTTACAGGAGTAGACACCACTTAAATTTCCTTTAAAACCCAAATCTTGAGTTCTTTGTGAGCTGCTAGAGAGCAGCTCACTTGCACCCCCCTGACTTTCCAGAGAAAAGTGGCAGAACATGGTGTTCAAGTTCAGAGGTATCTCATGTATAGCAGCTTTCTTAGTGACTCATTTGCTTTGCTGCAGAACAGATTACTCAATAAACACATTGAATAAAGGTGGGGAAGTAGAATTGTCTGTAGGAAAGGGTTGTGTTTTTTATCTTATTATGTCTTTCCCCTCAGGTATGCTCACAATTTGACACAACTAAGCCCGTGGTGTTGAAAGCGTGCCAGAAGAAGCGTCGTGGTCCTCACAAGCCCTATAATCAGTATGCTAACCACAGTTCATTTCATGCAGAAGTTTGTCGAGGAGCTGTAGCCTGCAGATTTCCTCCTTTAACTTTTGAGAATCCAGAAGGACATGCAGTCCCTCCGCTGGATGATCCAAATTGCTTGAGAAAGAACGCACAGTGCTCTCCCAACCAGCCTAAGAAAGGCACAGCAGCAAACACCAACATCCAGGTGAAGAGTCCAGAGAACTGTGGAGAGCTTGCTGTGGATCAAGAAGTCCCTAGTCCATCAGATGCAGCTGCACGTGTTCCTTCCCCAAGGAATGGGAGATGCAGCAACACTGTATCCCAAAGCAGTCACGCCTGGCATGCAGAAGAAGAGTTGCCGTTGGGTATTGATCCCTGTGGGAGAGGGGAGGCGGCAGCAGTACTGGTTACAGACACTCCCGAGCACGAGTACGGCCTCAAGGTCACCTGGAGACGGCGGCCGCACGTAATGAAGTACCTGCGGCAGCAGGGCAAGCTGAGCGCTGCGGACATCCTGGTGAAGGCAAACATGGAGCTCTCGAGGAGGCAGGCGCACCCCTGACCCGGCGGGAGCCGCCGCTCGCTGCGTGCAGGGACACGCCCGAACAGAGGCCGGCCCTTCGGGGCCCAACAGGGGACGTGATTCGGCCAGGCCCTCTACAGCGCCTGGCAGAGCCTCCGAGAAACGCCGGGGCGGGGAGGGGGGAGCTGCGGTCTTTTGGGGAGGTCTTCCGTGGGGAAGTGTGTCTGGCAGGGCTCTGTGCCCCGCGCGGTTCCCGCCGGGACTGTTCCCCGCTCCCGGCGGAGGCGGCGGGCGGCTCCCGCACCGAGGGACGGGGGCGGCCCTTGCGTTCCGCCGCGCGTGCGCGGCGCCGCGGCCAATCGGCGGGCGGCGTGCTCGCGGCCCCGGCCAATGGAGGCGCGCTTCAGTGCCGCGCGCCGTTGCTAAGGGCAGCGGCGGGCGGGGGCCCATAGCAACGGCGGGGCCGCGATGGACGGAGCGGGGGGACCCGGCGGTCCCGCCGCCCACAGGTGAGCAGGGCTGGGGCGGCAGCGTCCCCGGGGCCGAGCAGGCCTGGGCGGGGGCTGCCTCGCGTGGCAGCAGCGCCCGGTGCCGGGATGAGCGGCCGCAGCGGGGCCCGGGCGGGCGGAGCCGCACGGCAGCGGCCACGCGGGTCGGCGCTGCCCCGGTGACACCCGCGTCCCGCTGACGGGCGGCAGCCGCGCCGCTGCTTTATGTGCGGGTGTGTTTTATGTGCTTCGTTCTTCAAAGTTGGTGTACATCATCTGAATGCTTTTAGATTAAACCGGTTTCGTGGTGTCTCGGTCCACGCTTGGTTTCTGGGCGCTGCTGTGAAGCGTTTTCGCCGTGTTATTCAGCCCCTCTGCTCTTCCTAATGAAGCTGTCTGGGTATTTAGTATCACTCTGGTTGTGCCTTTGCAAGGAAAAAAGGGGGAATAACTGAAATGAACTCGACTGATGTAATAGGAAAAAGAGCTGTGAACTATGGAGAAGCGGTTTTGGAAAGACTTTATGCTTGTGGCACTTAAGTAGCTCAAAATAGAAATGATTTGAAATTAAATGTGAGTGTACTGGCAGGCAGAGAAAACGGGTTTTGGCAGAATTGGTGTGATTGCAAAAAAACCCAGGAAAATCTTTGTGCCTCTGTTTGGATAGGAAGAAGTAAAGCAAGTGAAGAGAGAAACCTAATCTTTGGGTAGTGAAATGATAATGAACACAGTGTAGAAGAGAAACAGTATTTTCTATTACATACATTGTTGCATTTGGTAATTTAAGGAGGATGAAAAGCAACAATAGAGTTTCAAAGGGTGCTGTAATTGCTTGGATCCACCAGATCTGCTATGGAACATTAGATTACTTCTTTGTGCAGACTTGAAAGGCCTTGGGTTGTTTAGCAGTTCTGGAAACAATTTTTAAGGAAATGATGTCCAGATATGTGTAAATTTCCCTGCACAGTAGACGTTTGACAAAGTTGACGCTACAGGAAATAATGCTGCTCTTCTGATAACCGTTCTACTGGCATAATTTCTCTCTGCTGAGAAACTTGTCTCATGTGCTTTTATGGGTGCCCCCCAGAAACAGTCTGACAATAATGGCTGGTCATCTCATGGGATAGCTGCTTCCATCCCAGTTTATTAAAGAAACATCCATTTCTTTAGCTTTCTTAGTCCCCATGCTTAAGGTAAGAAAACTAGAATATACGAACCTAAAGAAAAGTACATAGCTTTAAAATAGACCTGTAAGGCATGTTATTTTTAGAGGTTTTTGTTTTTCTGAAGCCTTCATCAGCATTGTAATAAATTTGAGGAAGAGAAATGTCTGTGTTCTTAGATGAAAATAGTAAAATTATGCAGGAGTTGTTAATCTGGTTACTGGAATTCTTGTTTGGTAAAATAATTGTCAGTTGTCCAAACAGTGGATCTTATGGAAAGGTAAATGTGATACATAATAATTGGCACTTCATGGCAATGAAGATCCTACAGGTAAAGCTTAACAAAGCTGCACATGAGAACTGGTTGGCAGCTTTTTTTTTTTCTTTTTTTTGCCATTTTTTCTCCCGGGGTGGAATGCTTTTACTATTGAACATGTGAAAAATACACATAAAGATATTGGAAATATTTTATTTCTGATGGGCAGAGTCGAATATTACCAGTCAAAAATGTAATGCATATTGTTTTGTAAGTGTGCTGTGGGATACCTGATGATGGATAGACAGCAGAGATCTTGGATTTGAGCCATCTACAGGCTGTCACTTGCAAATACTGTGTTGTGTTAGCCTTTCTTCCACTGGAACCGGCTACATCTGGAGTTGCTCAACTTCATTTTAAAGTTTGGCTTTCAGGTAAACATGGCACAACTGTCTTAATGCTTTAGAAAATGATAAGCTTGATATTGCTGTTTTATGGTTTTGGTAAGAGCTAGACTGTCTCTCTTATTTGGGAAAGTCCATTTGGAGACTTACCATGAAATTATTAGCGTAGAAACACTCAGGTAAAAGTAATTCTAATTTATTGTAAGCTTTTGAAATATTGTGAAGGAAACTTGTTTCTTATGGCATGTATGTATTTTAGAATCTCAGAGACCAATGGACTTTGCCCTCTTGCACAGTAACCACACAGTGTACAGGAATACTTAGAGCTTCCCACATGCTGCATTCCAAATATGCTTCAGCTTCTGACTTGCAGATGTCATCATATAAGAGGAGCAGAATTTTGAAGGGGCAAAAGTCTTGACTGAGTCTACAGAGACTACAAAACTGGATGTCAGCTACAGCGGTCCTGCCCTCATTTGGATGCTTCCTTGGGGTCCAGACATGCATCAGTTAGTGGCTTTCAGTTTCTGAACTCTGGAACTCTGGGATATTTCCTCAGTGTCTCCCAAAGTTAATGAAGAAAAACAGCCTGTTGCCAATAAGCTCAATTTCCAAAATATTAAGAGCCCATGGATTAAGAGAAGTTGAAAACTTCAAAAGTGGTACTGTTGTCTGGCCAAAAGCCCTTTCCGCATTTTAAAAACTTGAATGTAGTTGAGGTTGTCAGGAATGTGCCTGCTGGGCTTGAGTATTTTGTATAAATGCAACATAATTTTGATTTTGAGAAGAAAAAAGACAAAATACTTTGCTAATTATTTTAGCTATACTTGTAAACCAGAGAAGACAGGTAAGTTTAAAATTCCTTTTAAAAGCCTTTCAGCATCTCTGTTAGTCTTTGGGCATTTTTATTTAGCCACCAGTGACATTCTTAAAATTAACAAGCAATGTTTGTTAAATTCCAGGACTTACAATTCTGTAAATCTTATCCTTGTATGAACGAGAATTGGCTTAATAGTCTGTTTGCTTCACCCTGTTCAGCTCTAAACATTATAATGAAGAAATCTGTCTGAAGTGAGATAAACCTGGAAGTATTTTCTAAGTGTGGTTGATATGTACTCCTTGGAGTACAGATTCAACTGAAAAGCCTTTTGCAATTTGGTGTTGCTGCTGTTAATGTGAATGAAGGAGTCACCTCACTTCTTGTGATGTAGACAGCAGTGGCAAGAGAGAAAAGGGAACAATGTGTGACTAAAATTTCTGAATACAATTTGAGATTCACTTAGTAACAGCAATTGCAAAGAAGCATCCTAAACATCCTAAAACTTTAGGATGTTTGAATTATCTCTTTAGTTTCTAGTTAGCTCTTTTCCCATGTCTTATCACCTAGAATTTAGGTGATTGGTGACCCATTTTTTTTAATAGAGAGCCATTACTTTTCTCTTCTGCTGTTTTTTTTTTTTTTTTTTTTTTAATCACAGTGTGGCCTTTGTAGGAGTGGAAAATGCGCTGACTTAACATAATTATGACTTGGTATGTGTGAAAGCTTTCTGCAACCAGACTTGCACTGGGATAGCTCCAGACTCTTGTTTTGTTGATGAGGCACAGCTGAGTGATCTCCAAAATAAAACTGTGTTGTAATTGGGTCATGGGATGAATTCTCTTCTAAGTGGATTTGCTGATATGCCTGGAGATGTTGCCTTAAACTACTGCAAGAACATTTATGCAAACTCTTCCTTCTCTTTAAAACACACTCTGTGGGATGTTTGAACTCTTAACTGCCTGTGTTCTTGCTATAGGAGTCTGGGTGCTTCTACATTCCTTTCTGACTTTGCATTCTTATATGATATCTGAGGCAAAAAGAGCAAGAACTAAAATCTAGCAGTGATATCTTGCTAGGTCACCTAGTTTGAGATCAAAATGACATTTTGCTGTTTCTGTCTCTTTAATAGCTTTGCCTTTCATTTTTTTGAAAATAAAAAAAAAAAATCCGGACGGGGAATAAATGTCTACAATCACTTCTAAAGTGTCAGTTCAGAAAATTTCATGTTCCTTTCCCTATTTTTAGTTTGAAATACTATTACACAAGTACAATTCATCTTGTCAAGTGTGATGCACTTATTTTCAGGGGGTTTTGTTACCTGGTCTGGGTTAAGCACAGCACGTGCTATTTATCTGCTGCCTTTGTTGCTAGGAGAGAGTAATGGCTGCTCTACATTTCACTGGCATCCTGTTGTAATGAGGTACAACGTCAGCAGAAGTGACAGGCAAGGTTTAATAATTCACAAACAGAAGATCACAGGAGACAGAATTCCACCCCCCTGGCGATCTTGCTTTCCTCTTTCCTTGGGCTGAGGTGTTTCTATAAGTGAAATGACCATGGGGATGTGAAGTATGTAATTGAGAGGACATTAAATAGAAAGGCGAATTTCTGCTTGTAGAATAAATTTCTCTTTCTTTTCCTTAGCAGAAACCTAAGTTTCGTTAGGTTCAACTGAATAAACCTGAAGCAGTTGTAGTGGTGGTAAGGAGCTGAAAAGTCCTGAGTCATGGAGTCACGAGCTGTGAGCTCTTGAAGGAATGTGCCTAACAGGAGGTTCCTTGTCTCCCTTTTCTTGAAAGAATTATAATAAAAACTCAGTTGAAACCCCCTGTTTGGCTACACACTTAAAATATAAGTTTATGTGCGTATTCATATGATTGTGTTTTCTGTGCCACCCTCTCAGCATTATGATGGCTTTGGTTAATGGCTTGTGTGGATTTCTGGCTTCTCTTGTCCTTCCTTCCAGAAGATTAATTCTTTTGCTTTAGGTTTGCAGAAATGAATTTATTTGAGAGTTGTGGCTAAGGAAAACAAGAATCTCCTTTCTGTTCTCCCAGTGTAGTATAGCAGAGAATGACAGAGGCTTTTGTTTGCACTCCTCTTTGTAGTTCAAATAGAAGTCATACTAGCTTCTGTGCAGAGTGCTGATTTGTTTTCCTTGCTCTGTTCTCTTGTTCCAAGTAAGAGGCGTTAATCTTTGGTACTTGATAAATCACTTTTTGAATGGTGTGTAAAACACTAAGCAATACAGTAGTCAAAATAGTTCTGAGGTCAATATGTAAC